ACCAGTCTATGAAGTCCAGCAGCCAAATAATGGAATTTAATCATGAGCAGAAAACCAGATTACCAGAACACCAGAGAAAGTCTCTATCATGCAAGACAAAGACCAAACCAGCAGAAATAAACACATTGGAGAAAGTAGCAAATGTAGATGAAAGAAAACTTTATATAACAGGTTCAGTTGCTTTGAGAGAGGAGATCACCAAAAAAAATGATTACAACAAACATCAAACTTATCCTACTAGAAATGTGCGGAGCAAGGGAGACACCGGCCAAACGAAGTCTTTCAAAAAGACTGACGGAGAAGCTTTGGGACTTGAGTGTTAGAAAGTTTGGTTGGGGAGGAGTTAGTGAAGAGATGGTTTGAGATGAACAGTTGGCAAAGGTGGAGGAGGGGCAGGAAGGAAGGGTGGGGCTCAAGCAGGAAAGAACTGGTTAGGTTTTGCAATTGAGTGGAGTCTAAGACAGCTTTGATAGGCCAGGCCAGGCTGTTTGTGAAAAAAGTCTGGTTTTATCTTTACCAAGCACAGGGGTGCGTGCTGAGCTGTTGCTGACACCGTTGGCCTGTTTTGCAAATTGTGGTTTCAGGGCAGTTTTTCAAGTTGTGGTTTCTGTAGCTTTCTATTTCTCAGTCCTGAGAGAGGTGAGGAAAGAAGTTGCATCCTTAAAACAAGAACAGGATGTTCTTTTTAAAAAGAGGAACATTGGCCCTGTCTGGGTAGGCCAATTGCTTTATAGCATCATCCTTACACTAAGACTGTGGGCTTGATCCCCAATCAGGGCACATAAAAGAATGAACCAATGAACTTATGTCATACAACCAATTAATGTGTGGTTTTTTCTCTCTCTCCTTTCCTCTCTCCCTAAAATCAATTAAAAAAATAATTAATTAATTACAAGAGGAGCATTCATAGAGTAAAAACGAGTTTTTGAAAGTTAAAACTACGATAACAAATGAAAACTTAAGAAAGAATTGAAATAAAATCGAGGAAGTTACACAATAAAGAACAGCAAAAACACAAGGAGATAAGAAATAGGGGGCGAGGGGGTGGGGGGGGGGATAAGAAAATTAAACCAGTCTAAAAAGTTCAGCAGCCAAATAATGGAATTTTCAGGAAGGAAAAACAGAGGGGTAGAAATCAACAGTGAAATAATTCAAGAAAAATTCTCAGAACTGCAAGACACAAATTTCCAAATTGAAAGAGCCTATCATAATGATAATGGTGATCCAAGGTTTTCTCCTGGAGTCCTGTCTCGCAACGCCAAAGAATGAGCTCCGGGGAGCAGAAGATTTAAGCAAAAGAGTGGGAAATGTATTACGGGGCCCAATAATGGGCTGCCCATGAAGCCTTGTAGTCCAGCGGTATATATTTGCTACAAGCCTGCTCTATATCTACCTGAGTCGACACCTGATTGATTACCTCATTGTTCTTGCCCAGCAAGGGACCTGAACTTTCCCTGTTTCTATGTGTTCTTACACCTTGTTGCTCCAAGCCCTGCCTTGGTTTTCCATGCCTCCTGCTCTGTGTCCAAAAACATTCTATTATTTCTGCCTGCTTGGTTTCTGTTATTAGGCTTGCTCAAAGTGCCGTGTCTGCCCCTGCTATGTTCCACCTGCCTTTGTTTTCCACCAGACCTCTGCCAGTGTGCTTGTGTATCAAGCTAACCCTCTCAATAACAGATTAAAATTGTTCTAACCAAAACATATGATGGTGAAACTTAAAGCATTTAGGACAGTGCCCTCTCCCTCCCAGGAGCATGCTGCACCTTTCCCTTCCCCTTCCTCTTCCTCCAAGGCAAGCATCTCCTAACCTCTCAGGATCCCCATGAGACTTGCACACAGGAGAGCAATGGGCAGCGGCAGCTCCTCCTGGGCTCACCCCCTGAACCTGTCTCCAAGGCCCCCTTTTCTCTGACTTCCCAGTGAGCCAAAGCAGCCCAGCCTAGGCTCTCCTGTTGTTTCTTCCATTCTAAGCCCTTCCTTATTTCACTGTCTCCAGCTTTAATCAACATCCTCTCAAAATCAAACAAACAAATAAAATATTGTAAAGGAGGAAGAAGTAACAGTAAGCCCTGGCCTGGTGACTCAGTTGCATATAAAGATTTACAAAGAGTGAAAAAATACTTTCCATATCTCCTTCCTGAAGACACGACTGAAGGATATATGCCACCAAAATGAGAAAACTAAGAAAGAAGAAGGTATGAAATGTAGCAAATGAAAAGGAGCCAAAAGGCATGCCTGAGATGACAGTGAGAGAAAAATCACAGGATGGAAACTAGGTGATTCAGACTGAAAGTCTTATAACTCAAGAGACCAATATAGAAGGTATGAAATGTAGCAAATGAAAAGGAGCCAAAAGGTATGCCCGAGATGACAGTGAGAGAAAAATCACAGGATGGAAACTAGGTGATTCAGACTGAAAGTCTTATAACTCAAGAGACCTATATGTTGAGAAGGTCATCCCATTTTTAACCTGAGGTCAGAATCTTGTTGGCACTCGGCTTGTTTCTTCTCTCTTTTTTTTTTAAAAGGCTTCATTTCTCTTTTTTTTCTTTTTTTAAATGTATTTTATTGATTTTTTACAGAGAGGAAGAAAGAGGGATAGAGAGTTAGAAACATCAAAGAGAAACATTGATCAGCTGTCTCCTGCACACCTCCTACTGGGGATGTGCCCGGAACCAAGGTACATGCCCTTGACCGGAATCGAACCTGGGACCCTTCAGTCCACAGGCTGGCACTCTATCCACTGAGCCAAACCAGTTAGGGCTCGGCTTGTTTCTATTGCTTGCCCCTTCCCCCTGGCTGCCTGGATCGCCTGAGAATCTGCATTTTACCTCACCGAAGGGCTTTGTTTTGATCAACTTCTGAGACCTAGATGTAGGCCGCAGTTAGCTAGAAATAGAAAATTACAGAATTCTACGCT